AGGTTCACAAGTGATGTAGCGGAGAGGGAGAATTTGGAAAAGCACTTTCCAGGGAATGATGTGTTAGGGTTGGGTTTTGACGGAAGAGTAGGGGTTTGTTAAGAAGAGGTGCTGGGCATGGTGGCACATGCCTGCAATCCCAGCAGCTAGGGAGACTGAGGCAGGAGGATCAAGAGTTCAAAATCAGTCTCAGCAAGTTCCTAAGCAACTTAGTGAGAACCTGTCTACAAATAAGATATAAAAAAAAGGGCTGGGGATGTTGCTCAGTGGTTAAGCACCCCTGGGTTCAATCCCCAGTACCAAAAAAAAAAAAAAAAAAAGAATAGCTGGAAGGAAGAGGGACAAATATTCCAAACAGAGAAAACTGTATTTGTTCCCTGCTATATCCATCCCCTGGAACCTATAATACAGAATAGGCACTTAAAAATTACTTGTAGCTGGATGGCGGTACATGCCTATAGTCCTAGCTGCCCAGAAGGCTGAGGCAGGAGGATCACTTGAGCTATGAGTTACCTCTGGCTTATTGCCTGTGAGCAGCACTTCTAGTAGAGATATCTGCCCTTACCACACCCCTGAAAAAAATGAATGAATGTGGACGGAAAGTACTGGTGCTTTGGGAACCTCAGAAAGGGGAGAAGTAGGCTTGGGAATGGGAGGAGGATAGTTAGGTAAGGTCATACATAGTTCTAGGAGTCATGGATGGCATTAGAAAAAGGATAAATTTGCTCATTCAGCCATTCACTAATTATTAAGTACCTACTGTGTACCAGGCATATGCCAGGCATTAGAAATGTCTCCTAGTAAAAATAACTACAATCAGGACAAGACCTATGAGTAGGTGCTAGCCAGGTGATGAGGGAAGGGACTGGCTCATGCAGGGGCACTATGATGGACATTATTAGTGCCAAACCCTGAGACTGAAGAAGCTGGCAGGGTAGATTGGGTACAGTCTTTCAGGCTGTATTATGAATTTAGGATTTCATCCCAAGACCCATGAGGAGCCCTGGAATGTTTTCCAGTGGAGAATGGGGTGCCCAGATTGTATTTTGAAAAAGATTTTCCAGCCAGGTGTGGTGGTGCACACATGTAATTCTGACTCTGGAGGCTCAGGAAGGAGGATTGCAAATTCGAGATCAGCCTGGGCAACTTAGTGAGATCCCATCTCAAATTTTAAAAATAAGGACTGGGAGTGTAGCTCTGTGGTGGAACACCCCAGGATTCAATTTCCAGTAAAGTAAAAGTAAAAAAACAAAACAACAACAAAAAAAACCTTCTAGGCAGGGAATGACTGGAGGAGGCAGGGAGACCAGAGAAGGAGGCTGCTACAGGTGCAAGGGAGTCTGGGAAGCTCTGTGGCGTGGATCCTGGTGGAGGTGGCAGGGGTGCGAAGAAGGTGATAACTTGGGAGCAACAGAGGAGGTCCAGCTGGCAGGGCTGAGGGACCAACTGGACCATCTCAGCATGCAGAGGATCAGAGAATAGCCCTTGACACAGATGCCCAGGACTGTTCCACTTTGCACCACTGCCTGGGGTTGGTGTTCCACAGCAGCAGATGCTGAGATGAAGGAAACAGGAAAGAAGCCAGAAAATATGCTATTAATCAAGTTAACCCCTGTTGCAGGGCTTAGGCCTTCAAATGGTTTACCTGGTTGTCCTCTGGGTTTTGTGCTCAGCCCTAGGGTTTGCTCAGTATGGTGACCCCACAACAGAACGTACTGGGATCCAGTGCGAAGCAGCCCCAAGACTTCTCCTCTGTTCCCCCATTTCTCAAAGTGTTGTAGGATCACTAATAACTTTTGCCCTCAAACCTTTCTCCAGTCAAGCTAAAATATGAGGCTCTGGGAGGAATGAAGTGGCAAAAAACAAAAACAGAAGCAAACTTTTATGTTTATGAACATAAGTGGGCCACTGTGCAACAGAGGCTACTCAGAAGTAGGAGAGTGGAAACCGAGAGGAAATCCTCCTGGCTAAACTCTGGTCAGAGTATATCTTTTTGTTTTGCTAATCTGAGGATTGGAGCTCTCCCACTGAGCTGCATCCCCAGCCCTTTTTATTTTTTTGAGCTAAGTTGCTAAGTCCAGACTTTAATTTTGTGAGCTAAATAAATGATTGAGGTGCAAATTCGGGGGTGTTTGTTACACAGCACTGGATAATTAGACTCAGGGTTTTGGATTTTAGGACCCTGTGCATTGAGGCACAAGCTCCATGTGGTAATAGCTGTTCTACTGAATCTGTGGTGGCGTCAGCAAAGTCGCACCCTCCCACAAGAAGGTCACAATCCCCATAAGGCAGAGTACCAGAAGAGCCCTGGTGATAGGAGAGTCAAACCCCAAGTGCTCCCATCCACTAGGTTCGCTATCTGGGCCAAGACACACAGAGATAGGAATTCCAGATTGATGTGAGGAAATCCACAGCACAGGAGACCAGAACCCAGGATTCCTGGCCCAAGACTCTGCTTCCTTCTTTATAAACTGGAAGTGCCAGCAAATAGCTTGAGGGTAAGTACTTCCTAAGTAGTCATCATTATTTTTTGGTACTGGATTGAACCCAGGGGCCTCAATCACTGAGCCACATCCTTAGCCCTTTCTTATATTTTGAGACAGGGTTTCACCAAGTTGCTTAGGGCCTCTCTGAGTTGCTGAGGCTAGCTTTGAACTCAATGATCCTCCCGCCTCAGCCTGCTGAGCCGCTGGAATTACAGGCATGTGCCATCATGCCCAGCTCTAAGTGCCCAGAACAGGATGCGAATGGATGTCTGGAGTGGACATAGTTTCCTTTCCTTTTTTTTTTTTTTTAATTATTCATGTAAAGTTTATTTTCCTAAGTCCTCTTATGTCCTTGTAAGCAAGCTTTTCTCATGAATATCCCATGATAGTAGCAAATTCAGCAACTGCCCCTCTAGGGGTGGACATAGTAAAAACTTAATAAAAGTAGCTTTTAAAACTATGTGCCAGGTCCTGTATGTATACTAACATATTTCACCCTGAAAATACTCCAGTGTGACAGATATTATCATTACCACTGATGTACATGAGGAAACTCATAAGGAGGGGTGAAAAGTCACAAAGCCGTAAGTGGCTCAGGGAAGGTTCAAACCCAGCCATCCTAGCTCCAGAATCCATGCTGTTCCTGACAGAGGCTCAGAGAAAGGAGGGGCCTGGCTCAAGAGCACAGTCAAGAAGAAACAAATGGCAACTTTGGATGCGACTTCTGGGATGGGAGGAAATGTCTTAATCTAGAGAAGAGGCGATTCTCATTTGGTAGGGCTGGGATCCCTGAGGGAAATCTCTAGGAAGGCTTTCTGGGAATGGCTGGTGGTAAGCTCCCCATCAAGCAGGTATGAAAGGCAGTTTAGAAATTCAAGGGCAGTGGGCTTCTGAAGGACCTCAACCCTCCCAGACCAACTGCCCATCATATAGGTGAGGGCTTTGCCCAGGTGTTCACATCGAATGGTTCAGGCAGGAGGGGGTCCTGAGTCCAAGCCACCTGGCCTTGCCCTTGGCCACTTTCTCAAGACCTACAGCTGTCTTCCTACCAATACCATCACTACCTGCATCCACTAGGCTGCAGGAGCCAGATTTACCCTAGGATTCCTGTCTGCCCCATTTCCCCTTTCTTTTTCTTTTCTTTCTTTTTTTTTTTTAAATATTTATTTTAGTTTTTGGTGGACACAATACCTTCATTTTATTTTTTTAAATGTGGCGCTGAGGATCGAATCCAGTGCCTCCCGCTTGCTAGCACTTGAGCCTCAGCCCCAGCCCAGCCCCCCCCCCCCCCATTTCCCCTTTCACCTGGGCTGCTGCTGCTACTTGGAAGGGAGGGTGGCTAGGGTCCCAGCTTCCCCTTCTACAGGCCCTGCTGGCCTGGCCTTGCCAAGTAACTACACAAGCATCCCCATTTTCCAACAAGGCTGATGGGTCCCTCAGTTTATAGTTGGGAAAACTTTTGAGGCCTTGCCTCAAGATCAGCAATTCCCCTCTGCTTCTTGGATTCATTACGTGGATTCATTTCACACTTGCGAGGTAAGTACTAACACTACCTTCATTTGGCAGACCAGAATCAGAGAAGGCTGGCAGACAGAGGTGAATCGAGTTTCCCTTAATCAAAACGAAGGACACGGGTGGAGGGAACTGACATTCCAGGTGGCCTAAACAGACTGGGCAAAGGCCAGGAGGAGGGACGGGGTATGTTTGTAGACCTGGCCGGGAAAGGGCAGGGCTGTGGCCCAGTGTGTGGAAAGAGGGCAGCGGAGGCCAGGCCGAAAGCGCCTAGCAAAGAGGCTGAACCTTATCCTGGGGAGCCACAGCAGGTTTTCGAGCAGAAATCCCAATTTGTTGGAGCCGCCCAGCCCATCATCGCAGGGCCACGCCTTCGCCTGGACAGCCCGTGCCCTCGGCTTCCAAACTTTCGAATTGTGTCTAGTAAACGTCCACAGTTCAGCCTCAGTTCGCCTACTGGTCCACTTGGATGTTTCCCGCCCCCCAGCGGAAGAGGGTTTCCCCTCCCCCCGCATCGCCAGTGCCAAAGAGGAGCGACGCCACCCGGGCGCGTCCCCGCCGCGCATGCACTCGCCACCACCGGGACGTGACTCGGGGAACGTCCACTCCGGGCAGCGGCGGCCGCGGTGGGGGAGGTGCCCTCGACAATGCGCGTCTAGCTTCTACGGCCGTGGCCGTCTGGGTTCAGAGCTGGAGCCCAAGGTTCTCGGTCCTGCAGTTTGGGAAGCGGCCGCCTGTTTCAGAAGTTCCTTAGGGGTCCTGAGAGCTTTGCTCCGGTGAGGTCTCAATTCAGGCACTTATTTAGCCATCCATCGCCCTTTAAGGGGTCCTCGCCGCCCTCCTCGCAGCTAATTAAGAGATGGACGCAGTAGCCAAGGAGACTCTCTGATTGACAGGCATGATTACCAACCGACTAGTGAAAACTCCAGTCTGGGCCCGCCCGGCGCGTGGCCGGCGGCCCAATTAAAAAAGTGTAAGCGCCAAAGGGGGCGGTAACGGGGCGGTGTAGGTTGTGGCGGTTCTCCGTTGATTGCGCGCTGGGGATTGAGGCCTCTACGGACATTCGGACAATGCCATGACGCGGCATAACAACAGTGTTGACAGCGTGAGCGCACCCCAGCTGAGGGAGCCCGTGGGTCTGGGAGGCGGCGCGGCTGGAGGAAGGTCGCTGTTTGAGAGTGCTCTCTCGAAGCCCTTCAGAGTGGGGGAGGGGCGGCGGACGACGAGCGGCCCCTGTGTGCGCTTGCGCCAGCACCTCCGCCGACCGGGCCCGCACGCACGCGCATGCCCCTAGCGCGAGGAGCCGAGGTGGCCGGCAATACTGCGCGTGCGCGCCGAGAAGCCCGCTAAGGAGCGGCGCTTGCGGACGTCGGGCCGGCGGCCCGTGACGTCGTGAGGAGAGCTTTAAAGTGCGGGCCGGGCCGGGCGTCTGAGGGTCTGGCTGGGAGTCGGGCCGAGCCTACGCGGCAGCCCTCCGCGGAATGAGGCGCTTCTGGCGCCCTTGCCCCCCGGGACGTGGAGAAGGTGGAGGAGGAGGAAGCCCCGTTGTCGCCACCGCTGCATGACCTGCCGCTACTGAGTTCCGACCCCGCTCCTGGCCCCTAGACGCCCCCCGCTGGATCCTGAGGCAACGCATGGGGGTCCGGCACTGAGGACCCCGTTCCTTCCGGGGGCACCGGGGCGCGTCCCCCAAGAGCCATGCCTGGCCGCCCCGCCCGCCCCGGAGGACCCTAGAGTAGCGTCGCGGGGGCCATGGCGGCCGCCAGCGGCTACACAGACCTGCGTGAGAAGCTCAAGTCCATGACGTCCCGGGACAACTATAAGGCGGGCAGCCGGGAAGCCGCGGCCGCCGCCGCCGCTGCTGTAGCCGCCGCGGCCGCCGCGGCCGCCGCCGCAGAGCCTTACCCAATGTCCGGGACCAAGCGCAAATATCAAGAGGATTCTGACCCGGAGCGCAGCGACTACGAGGAGCAGCAGCTGCAGAAGGAGGAGGAGGCGCGCAAGGTGAAGAGCGGCATCCGCCAGATGCGCCTTTTCAGCCAGGATGAGTGCGCCAAGATTGAGGCCCGCATCGATGAGGTGGTGTCCCGCGCCGAGAAGGGCCTGTACAACGAGCACACGGTGGACCGGGCCCCGCTGCGCAACAAGTACTTCTTCGGCGAGGGATACACGTACGGCGCCCAGCTGCAGAAGCGTGGGCCGGGTCAGGAGCGCCTCTATCCGCCGGGCGACGTGGACGAGATCCCCGAGTGGGTGCACCAGCTGGTGATACAGAAGCTGGTGGAGCACCGCGTCATCCCCGAAGGCTTCGTTAACAGCGCCGTCATCAACGACTACCAGCCCGGCGGCTGCATCGTGTCTCACGTGGACCCTATCCACATCTTTGAGCGCCCCATCGTATCCGTGTCCTTCTTTAGCGACTCCGCGCTGTGCTTCGGCTGCAAGTTCCAGTTCAAGCCTATCCGGGTGTCAGAACCTGTGCTTTCCCTGCCAGTGCGCAGGGGGAGCGTGACTGTGCTCAGGTAACCCACCTGGGAGGAGGGGGCGGCCTTGCACCCGCTGCCTTAACTACCCACCCGGGTTCAGAAAGCAGCGGCCAATAGGAGCCCGTCCTTTAAACGGTTCTCACCCATCCTTCATTTTGTAGGTTGTAGGGAGTAGGGGAAGGGGTTTGTGTAGCGAGCAAACAGGGCTCAGGAACCAATGTCGAATTCTGCACCTGTAGCTAGCTTTCACGTGACCACGGGCTTAACTGAGAATTAGTCCAATGTCTTTCCAGAAGGTTAAGATATTAGGACTCTGTTTTTCTTATGAGATTTTAAGCATATCTCCATTTCCAAAGCAGTGTTTAAAAAAAAAAAAAAAAGTTACTATCGAAGTCATTCCTGCTCTGTTGTTCTTGGTTTTCTTAAAGGAAAAAAAAATTAGTGGATTCCTTAACAGAAAAATACAGGCAGAGGGCCCCTGAGAGTATTTAATTGACAGAGTTTCTCCATTCCCTAGAGGGGGAATGACTTCCCTGGAGTCGAATAATTCAGTGGTTGGGCCAGAAATAAAATACACCACACTCTTAATTCTTTCCTCTTAAGTTATGGATAAGCCCATTGGTCCTTTGTTAAGAACGTGCTGCCAGTTACTGGGACCTTATAAAGTACACCTGGGCTCTTGACCAGGTATTTAGCCTTATAGTTTGTGAGCAGTAGATTTCACAAACTGAAAATTGACTTGGTTTCCTGGCCCCAGGGAAAATTGTCTACCAGAACACTTTTATTGTCTATGTGAAGTGAAAATTATTTGGAAGCTACCTCCTTCCAATCCTGGAAAAGGTAAATCTAGTAATGCACTTCAGTAATCTTCAAAACCTCTTAGGAATTCTAGTCTATAGCTTGACTACCACCAGGTACAGGATCAGGACAAACTAGGATTTTGTTGTGAGCAGCTTAACCTCTGAAGTGCAGTTGACACCATAGGCCACAGTTGTGGGGAGAAGCAGGGTCCCAGGAGCCCTCTTAATATCAAAAGAGCAGGTCATCTGTCATTTCAGTTGAACAGCTGAGCCTCCTTTGATTATTGAGGATGGCAGCAGAGTCTTGAGATGCCAAGCACCTCCTGATGGGAAAATCTGGGAAGGCATTGGTAACATAAGCAGTACTTTGGATCCTAGAGAACCACTTAGCTGTCAGATGTTTCCTTGTCTTTTGGACTTTTGAGCATCTCAGGCCTGGGTGGTGTTTCCAGATGGATGCCTTTTAAGATGGGATTTCCAGGGTTAGGTCCTCCCTGGGGGCTTGTTATAGAAGGCAGGTTGGGGCTCTGATTTCTGGGAAGTGCTCTCAGTGCTAAAAGAGCTCATACAAAGACTACTTGGTCTCTTAATGAGATATTAATTTTCTACATAGTCATAGACCATTAGGGTTGTTTTCAGGAGGCCCATCAGTAATTGACTGCATAATGAGGAGATCCAAGGCATTTTGTGACTTTGAGATACTTAACCCCCAAACAAATGCACACTCCTGGATTGAAGAGTAGACATTTTAGGGTTTTTTCTTTTCTTTTTTTTTTTTTTTTGGAAGTTTTAAATTCTTAATATGCAGGTCTGTTAGTGATCCGCAACCGGATTGCATCATCAGGAAAATTCCATCTTTTCTTTAGTAAAGTTTTAAAGCTTTTCCAATCTCTTCCAACCCTTCCTGGATTCAGACTTAGCTGTAGAGTTAGTGTGGGAGGGCCAGCCGCGTCCTGAAAAGTACTGCCCCAGGCTTTGGATCCAACTCTCCTCATTTGCTTTGGGATCTTGTGGGCGGTCTCAGACCTGGCTTTCTTATCCACAAAGTGGGGATGATGCCAACTTCTGAAGCCTTTTAGAATTAAATGTGGTGATTTGGTGTTAAGTACAGATTTTGGCACAGTTTGGACACTTGAATGGATGCTTACTTTCATATACAACAATTTAATGAGCTTCTGCTTTCTTGGTGAGGAAGGGGCTAGGAATTTGGTGGATCCTGAAACATGACTCATAACTTTCAAATAGTCCAAACTCGGTGAACACCTCAGACTAGGTGATAGTCACAGCCCAGGCAGGTAATTGCAGGAGTGTGGGTCATCTTATTATAAGGGTCATCTTATTATAAGCTCCATAGTGTTGGAAGTTTTGGGGGTAAGTAAGCTGCAACTTGGAAGTTTTTGAGACTTGGGAAGTTTGGGGACTACAAACTAGCCACGCAAAACAGGGTTGGGGAAGCATACAACAGCAGAAGGTTTGGCAGCAGTAGCAGGGTGTGACCATAGGTAAGGGGAGGGGTAGGTGCTGCTGTGAGGCAGATGTAATTCATTAGAGACTGGTAGCTGATGCCTTGGTGAAGCTCAGCCTCTTGGTGAACCTCTTAACAGTGCTACTGTTGCTATTCAGGGCTTGTTAATTCTTTATTTTTGGTAGTGGCCCTGGGGATTGAATTCAGGGGTGCTCTACATCCCCCAGGACCCTCACCTGCCCCCCTTTTTTCCTGAGACAAGATATCACATACTTGCCCAGTCTTGTCTCCAGCAAGAGATCCTCCTACCTCAGCCTCCTCAGTTCCTGGGATTATAGGCAAGCACCACTATGCCCAGCTTTGCTGATTCGTTGTTGTGAGGGCTGTCAACGTATTGTAGAAGTTATACAGTGTACCTGGCCTCCTTGTGCTAGATGCCAGTAGCACTTTGTGTGTGTGTGTAAGTGTGTAAATATTAAGTCTTTATGTGGTGCTGAGGATCGAACCTGGTGCGAGTGCTGTACTGCTGAGCTATAACTCCAGCCCCGCCAGAGCACTTTTTATGACTACCAAAAATGTCTTCAGATACCACTAGATTCCCTGAGGGTGAGAGTTGGGGAGTAGACTCATCTCCAGTTGAAAGCCACTGCCCTAAAATTTTGGATGCTCCCACTAATTTGAATCATCTACCACCCACTCATTTAAAACTCAGCTTACTTGGTGTGCAGATGGATGAACACCTGCCTGTTTATAGTGCCCTCATCAAATCTTGCATGTAAGCTAGTAAGAGAGATGGTGCTTTCTCTCGCTTCCTGGTAGGAGTCTCAATCCAGGCAGTGATATGCAGTAAAGCTGCAGATCAGAAGGAAGGGTCTGACAAAACAGGTGTTCTGCATATGCAGAGGGATTGAAGCATTTGTCACCTGAGACTTCGGTTGTCATTTGCAATGGTGTTTGTAATTGTCCAAGACAACGTGGCAGGAATGCAGTTTTTATATTTAATAGTGTTCAATGTGGATGTTGGTGTGGCAGACATTGACTCAGCAGTGTTTAAACCTGGGCACTTAAAGGAAGACCTCAGACCCTTCTTGGAAGTGTTTTATTATACTCCTTTCTAAACCCAACTGGCCATTGTTTTTTTTTTGTGTCCTCATTGGGGGGGGGGGGGTCTGGGTGGCCATACTTTTTATTCTCTTATCTAAATAAATAACTCATCCTGTATTCTGTTGCCTATTCCTGTAAGGTGAATGGGGCAGATTAAAACAGGTCCATTTGGATTAATTAGAATAATAACCTCAAGACTAATTGCTTACATGCTTCTACCTTTATTCACAGCAGCATGATCTCTGTGTGGTGGCTTCATGCCCAGAGACCCAGGCTGTGGCCACGGGTCTGGAAGTGACTTGTTTTGCTCAGCCAGGGGTGGACTGTTGAGCTTAGCCTTTGCCTCCTGCACTTAACAGTTGGTATTGGGTAGAGTGAGCACCCCTGTCCATTTTGGGCTAAGAGCTAATCTTGTTCTGCTGGTTGAAAGCAAAATTTAGCTTTCTGGCTTAAAATAGTTGGGAAAGTAGGGCAGATAGGTCCTGGGCCACATCTCATGTGGAATCTTCTGTTGCCATGGGAGTGGGAGAAACTGTAAGATGAGGTCAGGGCTGTATGTTCTCAAGATGGACTCCTGGCCATTGGGATTGGCTATCCTTGCAGCTGCTGGTCCTGATGAGAAGGCAGGTAGTATTGGTATGTATGGTGACTTACACATATCATCCCAGGCTGAGATAGGCAATTGCAATTGCAGTTTTGAGGCCAGCCTGGGCAATGTTGTAAAACCTGTCTCAAAAAAAAAAAAAGGTCTCGGGATGCATTTCAGTGGTAGATCTCTTTTGCCTAGCATGTGCAACACCCTGGGTCCCATCCCCAGTTGTGTATGTACACATACACACACACAGGCAGAGGGCAGCAAAGGAGAGGAAGCTAATGTTGAAGCCTAGACCAAGCAGAGAATAAATAAGCCATAAAAATTTTAGGGCTGGGAAAAAAATTTTTTTTAGGGCTGGCTGGCAATTTTGGACTGGCACTTGGCATATAGCCTTTAGTGAGATACTGTGCTAGCTCTCTGGGGGGCACAGGCTTATCTTTGCAGACTTCTCCAGGGCATGTGTTCTTTGGTGATGCCAGCAAGGACCCCAGGACAGACTAGACTTTGTTAGCAGGAAACACAGATGGGCCTTTTTCTTTCTATGCTTGCTACCTAAACTCTCCCCCCCCACACACCCCAAACAAAAACAAAAGCAAAAAGTTTTTTGGCAAACTTGGTGGCAATTCCAAAACTATCACTTTAGCTGTTTGACTTCGGGTAAATGACTTAACTTTTGTGAGCCTGTTTTCTTTTGCAAAGTGGAGCCAGTGATGCCAGAGTCACCAAAGAAGATTGACTTTTCTGTCCCCACTGCTGATTACTTGAAGTTTAACTAAAGGTGTCTCAGGAGATGAGCTGCCTTCTGTGTTCAGTTCCTATCAAATTGGGAAACAGCAGGTTGACCTTTTTCCCTCTGGATTCAAAAAGTCCCCAGACTTATCTGAAAGTTAAGCCATGTGTCTTCCTGGACACTCAGATCTGGTAAATAACTTGAGTCTGAGCTCACAGTTATGCTTCTGTGTCCAGGTTTCCTACCTGCTCTCCTCCAGAAACCTAGGCTCACAAGACTGAGAAGCTTATCAGTGGTGGGGCTGTCTAAGATAGGTAGCCCCAGCCAGAGGGAGGCTGTCTCTAGACTCTGATCTTGACCAGTCCCTCCATCTCTAATCTGTTCTGGTGTAGGCTGAGAGGGCATGTAGTAGACAGGGTATGGTGGGCATCTTGGAAATGTGCCTTAACAACTTGATCTCCAAAGCTGTCACCAGAGGTCTGCATAGTTATAGATTTTTAGATTCCTCATTCTTGCATCTCATCTCTATTTTACAGATATAGGAACTGAGACTCCAAAAGTGGTAGGAAAAGTTTGGCTTAGTATGCATTTCATTTTTGGTCCATTGTGTACAGAGTTGAATAAGGCCTTAGAAGGCTCTGTCTTGTAGGGAAGATACAATCTCCATTGGCCAAATGTAGTAAAAAGTCCTAGGAGGGTGTGGTTGAGGTTTTGGGAGTAACCCTGCTTGCGGGAGCTCAGGGAAAGCTTCCCAGAGAAGGTAGATGTGTCACCTTCCTTAAGAATCACTCTAAGGTCTAGTAGGTGACAGAGATAGATCCTGTTACCCTTTTGTGTTTTGGATACTAAGGATTGAATCAAGGGGTGCTTTCCATTGAGCTATAATCCATAGCTTTTTTTTTTTTTTTTGTAAGACAGAGTTTTGCTGAAAGTCTCACTGAGTTGCAGAGGATGACCTTGAACTTGGATCCTCTTGCCTCTGCCTCAAATTGCTGGGGGTGTATGGGGGTGTGCCACCACACCTAGCTAGGCCTTATTGCTCTTGATACTTCTTGCATACTAATTGCTGCTGGGGTCGGGGCCCAGTTAGGGGAGGGAGTAAGCAAGCTGGACTGCACAAGGTATTTCCTTCTCTCATTTCCCTGTGAAAACAAAGGAGCAGGAGGCACTGGAACTTTTCTTCATGCCAAGGTTAGGGCTGGATCCATGGCATATTAAGTTTCAAGCTGGCAGACTGGGACTTTCAAACATTTTCTCTTGTAGCGAGTAGGTTCCTAGCAGTAAATTATACTCTTGTGGTCTCTGCTGGGCACTTGCTGCTGAAGTTTGGCCAGGAGAGCTTCTTTTGGTCAGAACTTTGAGTTCCCACTCGAGCCCAATACTTTGAAGAATAGTCAGTGGATTGTCAACAGTTGCCAGGAAGTTCTAGAAGACCAGTGCTAATGAGCCCTCCAGGTGGGGTCCATGCCAAGGGGACCTGTATCAGCACATTAGTTCTGAGGCCTGGGCTCAGGGCAAGAGCCTGGCATAGCTTATTGTTTGTTCTAGAGGCCTTTAGAGGATGGGCCTGGAAGCATGGAGGCAATCAAGCTTTGACAAACATCTGGATTTGCTCCAGAATTACATTAAGAGTAGTGGTTCCTTGTTAGAGATTAGAAGCTAGAGCCCTAGGTCATGTCTGTAGTCCAAGTTAAACAGATTAATAGAACTTGTTAACAACAGGGAACATTGCTTGTAGCTAGCACTGCAGGTTCAAGCCTTAGAAATGTACCTATGGACTCCTGAGAAATGCTGTGTGTAGATTATATGGAACTATTTTACAACCCAGATTTCACCACTGTGAGAGTGATAAAAATGTGGGATGAGACCTTTAACTCCTATCCTTGGAATAGGGCCTAGGAGGTCTCTCCCTATAGAGAGATCTCTGCAAGGTGATCCCAGCTCATATCTTCTTGGCAGATGCTGACCCCAAGGCTCTGCCCCCCACCCCAGGGACCCTTGGGCAATGATTAGCAAATGGTAGGGCCCTAGGAACTTAATTCTCAAAACCCTGAATGTGTGGCCTCTCACCACCCCCTCCCAGAGGTATCAGCCTAGATACCTAGAACCCTGTGCTTCTGCCTGGAAGGGAAAAGGTGATGGCTGCCTCTTAAAAATTTTTTAGTCTTACCAGGTGGTAGTGCATGCTAGTAATCCCAGCTACTCATTTGAGGCCAGCCTAGGCAATTTAGTTAGACTCCCATTTCAAAATATATAAAATGTAGCTCAGTGGTAAAATGCCTCTGGGTTCAATCCCCAGTGCTGAAAGTAAGTACAATTTTGTAGTTTTTTGTAATGACAATGAAATTATAAAGCTTAACAATGAATGCCCAAGAACCTACTGTTCTCCTTACTACAGATTAAGAAACTGAGATTTAGATTCAGTATGTAACTTAACTAAGTCAAGTAGGTAGTAGATGACAAGTTCTGATTTGAACCCATGTCCCTTCAACTCCCTAACCCCTTTGGGGGGTTCCACAATTTTGGATGTGCACTTCTTAACAGTGGGCTGACATAGTAATAGTTATTGAGAAAGGGTTCTTTGATCAGTGCTCTAGTTAAAGTCTGTAGGTTCTTTTTCTGAAGTAATTCAGAATTATCCCTTTAACATAGGTTTTTTGAAAATAATATTTTCTAGTGGCTGTGGTTCTAGCATGCGTGAGGCACTGGGTTCAATCCTCAGCATCACATTTTTTTAAAAAATGAAGGTATAAAAAAAACATTTAAAAAATTTTTTTCCGAGTAAATTTTCTTCTGCCACCAGCACTGTCTCAAATCAGATGTACAGATAAGAGGTATACTTTGTAGGGGCGGAGCCTGAATCAACCTGACTTTATTTTTACTGGTTCTTGCATCCAATTCTTATCCATAGTTGGGCCAGCCTGGTCACTTCAAGGAATCCTTCCCAAGCCTGTGACATTTCTGACAGTTAAGCTTGTGTCTGTATTGCTGCCCTTGAGAAGGAGCTGATCAACCCTGAGGAAGGTTTGTGGTCCAGGGCAGCCAGAAATTCCCTGAGCAGGTGGAGAACCTGAGACTGCAAAACTTCTCACCAGGCCTATGGTTGGGCGAGTATTTGTCTAGGTAGTATTTGCCACAGCTCATTGGAAGACTTGGGTTTGGGGTGTCTCTTGGCTGCTATGCTCCTGGTGAGAGCATATGAGAGGATTAGGAATTGGAGTTGCTAGAATTTCAAAGGGGAAAAGATGCTAACTGAAAAGAAGACAGTCATCTACCCACATTCATTGGTCTGTAAGCAGTTTTTAAAATCTTATAACTTGTTGAAAATAAATAGAAATTTGAGTGTGATGGAAATTCTTAAAATATCCCAAACACAGCTGTCTTCAAAATTGTGGATCCCCCCAAAGGAGGCTTTTGAAAGCTTTTTTCCAAGTAGACAAATTCTCTTTTGGAATGTGGCAGTCCTAGTTCTCCCTGGTGACTCAGTGTGTCAGCAGCTGCGTTGGCTTCCTTCATTGTGCTGTGGGGTGAGGGAAAGGGAGGAAGAATAAGGAGGGGATAGCTCTTTGTGTCCTCATCGAGGTCTTCCCTGAGTCACTCCAGTTCTTTAGAGCCTCTAAAGGTACATTCTCTTGAAGGTTCTTTACTTATTTTAGTTTTGCAGAGCTGGGAATGAAACCAGGACTTCATACATGGCCAAGCAAACGTTCTACCACTGAGCTACATCTCCAGCCTTATGGGCTCTTTAAAAAAAAAAAAAAAAAAATTTCCTGGCCTGTGCGGGGAGAGTCCTGCCTGGCCTCTCTTAAGAGGCCAATGGGTGTCCTTTGCCTCAAGTCAGGTTTTTCCTTGAGTCGTTTTTCAGCAAAAGCTTCCTGGAATGTGGTATTTCCCTTCCACATGTAAATCTTTGAACCTTGCAAATAACAGGCAGGGGGCAGCCATAATACATGAGCTGTATTCTGGTCTCCCAGGTGTTTTGGTTTTCCACTCTTCATGGTTCCTTATTCTATGTTTCTTTCCAGTGGATATGCTGCTGACGAAATCACTCACTGCATAAGGCCTCAGGACATCAAGGAGCGCCGAGCGGTCATCATCCTCAGGAAGTAAGTACCCTATGTTTGGTGTCTTCTGTGCCACCTGTAGGCCTGTCTGGAGATATAGGTCTGGATTTCCTGAGAAATCCTTACACCAGTGGCATGGAACAGAAATCTGGGAGGGCAGAAATCTGTTTTGATCTCTTACTTTTTATTTGCATTCTGTGAGGAAAAAGCTGTTTTGCTTTTTCATCAGAAAATGAAGTTCTTTGTTTGGACTTTAGGACTGAACAAAAATCACATGCTGCCCAGTATTTATGGGCACAGTCTTGAGACAAGATTTGGGGAACACTTTTCCAAACCCCACCCCACTCCCAACCTCCTCCTCTCACCTCTTTGGTTCTGATTTGTCACATGTGTGCTCTGTGATTATTTTTAGGACTGTACTTTAGAAGCCTGCTTTAAAAAATGTCTGGGTTTTCACTCTGGGAGGAGCAGGGAGTAAGGAGACAGTGTAAGGTTCGAATGCAGTATTCAACTGGCTCATAGCTGTAGCTGTCTCCACTCTGGTAAGAGGATTCAGGGATGGATGTACTGATTAAAGTTAGTAAACCTGGCCTCTCCAGGGTTTTTTTGGTTGTTGTTGTCACTTTTCATACTGGGTAATGAACCCAGGGGCACTTGACCACTGGGCTATGTTCCCCAGCCCTTTTTTTATTTTTAGGCAGAATCTTCCTAAGTTCTGAGGGTCTCTCTTACTAAGCTGTTGAGGATGGCGTCAAACTTGAGATCCTCCTGCCTTAGCCTCCCTACCGAGTGTAAGACCAGGTGTGCAAAACCAAGTCTGGCTATAGCTTTTTTTTTTTTTTTTTTTTGGTCCTTGTGGTGAGCAGACAGATTTGTCAGCAGCCACAGCCACACAAACATTGGATCAGAGAAAGAAAAGCCTTCTTTTGAATGGAGTTCCAGAGAAGATCAGGGATTGCCCAGACTCCCATAAAAGTCGGTGAGCAGAGCAAGACCACTATGTAGACTTGGGTTTGTTCAGGAGGTGGAAAGCCTGCTAACTTTTTTCTTCAAAATTTAAATAAACTTTATTTTTGTAGAACAGTTTTAAATTTATAGAAAATTGTGGTTTTACACAGTTTTTTAGTACCCTGTATCCCATTTCTTCTATTTTTAAAAAATATTTTTGTTTTGGTGCTGGGGACTTAGCTCAGTTGGTAGAGTGCTTGCCTTGCATGCACAAGGCCCTGGGTTCAATCCCCAGCACCACCAAAAATGTGTGTGTGTGTGTGTGTGTGTGTTTGTATTTGTTTTAGTTGGACACAATACCTTTATTTTATGTGGTGCTGAGGATTGAACCTAGTGCCTCACATATGCTAGGCAAGCACCTGAGCCACAAACCAAGCTCCTTAGTACATTTGTTTGGTATGTTTGTTATTAACAAGAAACTGTTAGTGGTTGGGATGTAGCTTAGTAGTAGATCGTTTGCTTAAGCATGTGCAAGGGCCTGGATTCTCTCATCAGCACTATGAAAAAGAAAATAAACAAGTGATTTTTCTTGTTTTTGCCCCCTGTTCTAAGATATTTTCCACATTACATTTATCATATCACCTTAAGCTCTTCTTGGTTGTGATCTTTTCTCAGACTTGTCTTATTCTTTTTTTGGTACTGGGTATTGAGCCCAGAGGCACTCTACCACTCAACTGCATCCCCAGCCCTTTTTATTTTTTATTTAGGGTCTCACCAAGTTGCTGAGGCTGGCCTTGAACTTGGAATCCTCAGCTTCCCTAGTAGCTGGGATTATAGGCTTGTGCCATTGTGTCTGATATTTTTTTTTGGCGGAGGGTGGGGTACTGGGGGCTGAACTCGGGGGCACTCAGCCACATTCCCAGCCCTATTTTGTATTTTATTTAGAGACAGGGTCTCACTGAGTTTCTTGGTGCCTTGCCATTGCTGAGACTGGCTTTGAACTCATGATTCCCCTAGTCTCAGCCTTCCAAGCCACTGGGATTACAGGCATGCGCCAACGCGCCCGGCCTGATTTAGGCCTTATTTTTGATGACACTGATTGATTAAACCAAAACATTTTATAGAATATCCCTCAATTGGTATTTGTCTTTTTTTTTTTTTCCCCCCAGGTTTTTAAGGTTGGCCTAGGGTTATGTTTTCTGGGAGGAAGACCACAGAAATAAAGTGCTAGTTTTACCATATGCTAAGGGTATATTCTGTTAAAATAACTTGGCACTGCTGATCTTGAACATCTGGTCATCTGCAATGTTTGTAAGTTTTTCAACTATAAAAATTACTGCTTCTCCTCCGTCCATGTACAGTCTACATGAAGTAGTGAGGCCAGGCACTGTGATGTGCACAAGTATTCCAGCCCAGGAGGACCCATCACTTGAATTCAGGAATTCAAGGCCAACCTGGGCAGCATGGCTAGATTGATCTCTTAAAAACAAGATGCTGGGTGTGATGGTGCATACATATAATCTTAGCAGCTTGGGAGACTGAAACAGGAGGATCTCAAGTTTGAGGCCAGCCTTAGCTATTTAGCAAGGTTCTAAGCAACTTAGTGAGACCCTTTCTCAAAAAGGGCTGGGAATGTAGCTTAGTGATAAAGTGTCCCTGGATTCAGTTCCCAGTACCAACAAACAAAAGGGCTAAAGGTGTGGCTCAGTGGTAGAACACTTGCCTAGCATGTGCTAGACTGTGGGTTCATTCTCAGAACCAAAAAACAAAACAAAAACCCCAAAAGTGAGGATTTAGCCTTACCTTCTTGAGGCAGGAGAGAAGTAGCCACATGAGTTATTTGTATTTCTTCTGCATAGGAGATCTGACTATATTCCAACACCCCCCCACACACACTTTAAAAAAAAAAAAATCCATTTGTTTATATCAGCATAGAGTCGGGGTATTTATGTTCAATTGTTCCAGCTTCAGCTGCTGGAAACTGTTGGTTTGTCTTTCTGAGCCCAGGGGTGCTACATCTAGGGTCTCCCTAAGTTGCTGAGGCAGATTTAAGCTTGTGCTCAGCCCCAAGTTGCTGGGATTATAAGAGTTTGCCATCTTTTTCTAAGTTGTAGAGGGACACAACACCTTTGTTTTTATTTTTATATGGTGTTGAGGATGGAACCCAGTGCCTCACACGTGCTAGGCAAATGTTCTACCACTAAGCCATGACCCTAGCCCAAGAGTTTGCCATCTTTTTAACTTCAGTCAGTAACTTTGGTATTCTGTCTTTTGGTTGCAGAACTCCAGAATAAGGTGATAAAGGAGTCATCAGCATGGCTCTGTCACTTTGTCAAGCTTAAACTTTGACTTCTGTATTATTGTCAGTAGTGTGGATATGACCCAGACCTAGGTGGGATAGTTCTGTGGTGTAGGCAGAGCACCAGGCACATTTGGAAACTTCAGACACTTGGGTTGATTTGGTGGTTGGCAACCTCTCTTCTCTAGCTTAAGAATAATCCCAAAATTGATCAGAGGTTTTTTTTGTTTTTGTTTTTATCTTTTTTTTTTTTTAGTTTTTGGCAGACACAACATCTTTATTGTATGTGGTGCTGAGGATCGAACCCAGGCCGCATGCATGCCAGGCGAGCACGCTACCACTTGAGCCACATCCCCAGCCCCTAATATCTTTATTTTGTTTATTTTTATGTGGTGCTGAGGATTGAATCCAGTACCTCACATGTGTGAGGTAAGCACTCTGCTACTGAGCCACAACCACAGCCCAAATAAAGTGTTTTTTAAATTACCTTTCTATTTTGTTTTCCTGTGGTTCCCAGCACAAACCAGAATCCAGAGAGCACCTTCTTTTTAGCTTCTCTGTCATTCTCGGGCTTTACCTGCAGCAGGGATGGGTGGCCTGCCCAGGCCATGAACCTGGAAGGGAACTCCTGGGGTTATGTAGAATCAGAGCAGTAACTCCCAGGTGTTCCCTCCCAACCTCTCATAATAGCTTTTCCTGGGAATTTTTTTTTTTTTTCCTGCTGAGTTGCTTAGGGCCTTGCTAAGTTGCTGAGGCTGTCTTTGAACTTGCAATCCTCCTGCCTCAGCCTCCCGAGTTGCTGGGATTACAGGCATATACCACCGCACCTGACTCCTTGGTAAATCTTTGTGGAGAATCTTGTCAGTCTTCCAGATACTTCCTTCTTCTTGAATGGTGGCTTCCATATCTGGCTGGCTAGGACAGCTGAGTCAAATGCTTCTCAGCACAGCTAAGGGTCTGCACTATTAATCAGCTCCCCTGGAAACTCTTTGCCAGCTGGGCAAAGTGGTCTGACATTGGGAATGGCTGTTGTGAGTGACTGAGGTTCTTTGACCTTTTGACTTGAGTAGGCCAAAGAGCTATCCAGGGACTGGGCTTTGGTGAGAAGAGGGTGGAGACAAGTGGGAGGATATCCCCAGCTTTCCCAGGCAGTTGAGCTGTGGAAATGCCCAACTGTAGAGAACCAACCAAGAGGCCTAAGGAGAGGTACAGGTGTCTCTGCTGCTTGTAGAATAAAATCCAAGCATGTAGCCTAGTTTCTGGGGATTGATACTTGCAACTCCCAGGACAGTCCATAGACTTATTCCTGGGTTCTGTGGCATTGTGGCTTCTGTTGGCAGTGCCTTCTGATCTAATATATTCATCTTATGATCCATTCCCACCTCCCCAAATGACCAACATAGAGACAATGAAAGTTGATTAACCTAACCATCCTTCAAGGGTCAGTTGTTGACATGCAGGAAACATCATACATACAACTGTAGCCCTCTCAGCATAAACTGTTTAGACTGTCAGCTCATACATTTGGCATGGTGAATTTCCAAATTCATTTTCTGTGGGAGCAGGGAGATCCCTGTTCATCTGGTTCCTAGCATGTGGCCCAGCCCAGAGGAGGAATCCTTCAGTATGAGAAGAATGATTCAAGTGGAGAGAAGCAGCTCCAGAGTAGCTCCAGGGGCTTGTCTTGGAAAAGGACAGCTGTGACAAGTTGAAAAGGAGAATATTTTCACTTGGGCATCCAGGCACTGCCTAGAAATCATCACAAGGTAGTCTGGAGGTACCTGGCTGATTTGAC